ATCCGCGCCTCGGGGCTGGATTAGTCGGGCCTGCCGCGCCCCGCCCCCGCCCGCCCGCCCCGCCGCGCCCCGCCCCCGCCCCGCCCGCCGCCGCCCCGGCCCTGGGGTGCCGCGCGCCCTGAGAGCCGCCCGGAGCGCGCCGACCCGGCCCGGCGGGCATGCGCGGCCCCGGCCCCGGCTCCGGCCCCGGCCCCCGCCCCCGCCCCCGCCCGAGGACCAGCGGCCGCTGCCTGCGGAGCGCAGCAGACCCGGGGCGCCCGCGCGGTGAGTGCGCGCTGGTGGCTCCGGGAGGGAGGGATTCGGGACTTTGGGGGCCGCGGACGAGCCCCGGCTGCCGGGAGCTGAGCGCGCCGGGACCCGCGGCCCACGTGGCGGCCGGCGGGCGGGGCAGCTCCCCGCGGGGGTCCGGGCCCGGCCGGGGCGCGCGGGGAGGGCGCGCGGGGAGGGCGCGCGGCGGAGGCGGGGCCGGGCGCGCTTTTGTCCGCTCGCGGCGGGTCTCGGCGCCCCCCGCGCTCGCCGGCCCGCGCGCAGTCGAGGTCTTTGTGTCTGAGCGGAGCCGCCCCGCGGGCCGAGGCCTCGAAGACAAAGCGCGTCGGCGTCGTGGCCTCCGCCCGCGGCCGGGGCCGTGCGCCCAGGGCAGTCCGTGCCGCCGGGACCCCGCCTGCCGGGCGCGGCCCTTCCGCCGAGCGCGCGAGCCCGCGAGCCCGCGAGCCCGCGGCGACCCCCCCCAGGGCCCCGCCCGCCCCGTCCGCCGGGCCGCGTGTCCCCCACCCCCGACCCCCCGCCCGCGCCGGCTCGGGCCCGGCCCGGTGTGGACTTGTGGCTGCCTGGGTCGCCGCCCGGCGGTGACCTCGGGGAGCTCGTCTGCCTGGTCTGGCGGCGGCTGCCCCGGGCGACCCACCCCCTCGGCCCGCGCGTCGGACGCAGACGGACTGGACCCGGCGACTCGCAGCAGCAGCGCCTCTGCCTGCCCTGGGAAGGGGCTGGAGCCTGCGCCCCGGCTGCAGCCGTCTGCTCAGAGCCTTCCTAGATGAGGGACAGGGCGGAGCGGAGGTCGGGCCCCGACTGGCCCAGAAGCCCACCTGGGTCCCTTCCCAGGTCCCCGCAGGGACGCAGGTCCCTCAGCTTCCCGCAGCAGGACTTTCGCTTGGGCCATCTGCGGCAGTGGAGGCTGCGGAGACTGGATGGCCCCGACAGAGTGGCCCTCCCCCTGCCTCTGCCAGGCTGGCATCCAGGGCTGGGAGTGGTGGGGACGGCGCTCCCCCCTCCCCCCTCCCCCCTCCCCCGCTCCCCCGCTCCCCCGCTCCCCCGCTCCCCTGCAATTTCCCAGGGCCTAGGGCGCCACCTCCTGGCCCCGGCAGCTGTATCCAGCCTGCGGCCTTCGTGAGCTCGCGCCGTCCCCCAAGGCTGGCGCCCACAGAAACACAGGAACACTCTCGGGGCCACCTGTCAGCTTCCAATCTGATACAGGCTTGCTCAGATGGGCTGGCTGTGTCAGGAGGGAGGGGCTTATGGAGGAGGTTGGGGCTTGCGGCCCCCCAGCGCCCCTTCCCGCCCTCAGACTCCTGGAAGGTCATGGCAGTTGAGGTGGTGAGGCCTTGAGCTCCATCCTTTGATGCGTCAAGGGGGGTGGGGGCATGCGCCAGCCCTCTGGCCATGCCCCTGAGCTGGGGACCCTGGAACTGCTGGCGCAGTTAACACCATCTCTGGCCCAGAGGGCCGTCAGCGCGCAGATGATGAAGACCTCAGGAGGCCGTGGTCAGCACACAGCAGCTCCTCTCATTTGTGGCAGCGCCCATGTGAGTCCAGGGCAGCTGAGAGGCGGCCAAGCAAGAAGAGACCTTCAGACCGTGCTGGCACCTGGTGCTGAGGAGCGGGCAGAGGTGCCAGCTGGGTCAGGGTCAGGGGCCCCAGGATGAGGTGGACCCAGTGGGCTGCTCACGACCTTACAGAATTGCAGGAAAGCTCAGATTGCAGGTGAGGATCCTGAGAAGGCCCTGAGTGTTTAAGTCTGCAGCAGGGTAGGGTGGTGACCTGTTCTGATTTGGATTTTAAAGAGACTCTTGGCTTTGTGAATTAGTTTGTGAACATGTTAACAAGCCCAGGTAATGACTATAACAGCAGAGCTGTCACTTGGGCGCTGCTATGGGGTCCTGGGGTCACGGTGAGGGTCCAGTCCAGGAACGACTAAAGTCCTTGGGCAGGTCCTGGGAGGGTGGGTGACCCATGCACCATCAGAGACGGGTACAGCTTGGGGGTGCCATGGCCAGGAGTGCACATGCTTATCTGCTCCTGGCAGACTTGGGGCCGTGTCCGCCACGGAGCAGACTGGTGTGAGCTGTCCCCCTCCTGGTCCTGGGGCGGGGCATTGTCACTCTGCAGACAGACTTTCCTCGTCCATCCTGGGATTGAGCGGGATTAGGGGCCTGGCCCTGAGGTGCAGATGGGGACACAGGAATTGCTGGTCATGTCTGGAAACAGGCCCGGCTGCAATGCCCCCCTCCCCCACCAGGGCTGACAGTCCCCCTACCCTGCCCTGCAGACCCCCCAGTCCAGGGAGACCCCTTCTCCCCATGGGGACTCCTCAGGGGTGAGGTGATAAGCCAAGGATTCTAACTGCCACTACTCACCATGTAGAATGTGCTGGAAGAGACCAAACAAACGGGGAGAGGGAGGAGGGCTCAGCCCTGGTGCCCCTGTGTGGGAGCGTCATCTGGCTGGGATGGGCGTGGGTGAGAAGGTCACACACGGCCTCCTCCGTGGTCTGGCAGGCCAGGCAGGAAGGACCCCCCCCAGTGCACAGCTGCCCACGCTCAAATACAGTGGGGGGTAGCAGAGCCTCCACCCACCTTCCTGGTCTGAGCCTCCGCATCTGAGGCCCGCCAGGCTCCTGTTTACCTGTCAAAGGTCCTTCCCCCAGGCCTCTGCAAGCCCTCTGAGAGGGTGTGGTGTGAAGTGCGGCTGCCTCCCTGCCTGGCAGCTCCACCAGCCCCAGGCTCTGGTTTGGGGGCTGCATTACTGCCCTCTTTTCTTCCTGGTCCCGGTTTTGGGGACATGGTTGGAAAGGGCTAACCACATTCCAGTGTGATCACAGCATTGTGCAGTGACAGGCTTCCTCCTCCGTCTGTGATTCCGTTTCCCACAGTCACCTCACCGATCTGTCTGGAATTATTCTGACACAGGGAGCAGCATCTAGTCCAGGTCCCACATGGGCCTGGGTCTGCTCTTGGGTCAGTGGCGCATCCTGTCACGGACCCTCGTGCCCCAGAACTTAGGGGCAAGAAAGTGCTCCCGCTCTAAGTGCACAGTGTCATGTACTTTGGCAGATGTGCATGGCTGCATTTCCGCCACCACAGTCAGCTATAGCACATTTTCATCAGCCCAGAAAGCTCCCTTATGTTTTCTTTTACTTTTGTATGTATCGTGGTGAGACCATATACTCTCGTAACCGATTCTCAGTGCACGGCTCAGGGCATCGAGCGTGCTCACACCATGTGTGCTGCTTCATCTGGGACTCTTTGCCTGTAAAACCGACAGGGTCTCTTCAATGCTGACCCCCCACCCCTGCCCCGGTGCGCCAGCTCTTCACCTAAGTGGGGTCCAACACCGAATGTCCTCTGGTTCTGGCCTCTTTGCCTCAGCGCCACGTCCTCGAGGTCCGCCCTCGTGGTACCTGTCATACTGTCTTTCCTTCAAAGGCTGACTGGTACCTGTTGGCCACGTGGACCACTTTGTTTCCCTGTACGCCTGCTGATGGACTCCAGGCCACCCCAGCTGCTTGGCTCCTGTGAATAATGCTGCCGTGCCTCCTAGCGTACAGATTAATTGTTTGAGACTCTGCTCTCAGTTTGGGGGCAGGTATGCACGAGTGGGACTGCTGGATCACGTGGTATATCCACGTTCAACCTCAAGGAGACTACAGTTGCCCACATCGGCCTCACCATTTACCTTCCTGCCCACAGTGTGCCAGAGGCACCTGCTGCTGTTGAGTTTTGACAGTGGCTGTCCTCATGGTCTGAGGCCTCATGCTTTTTGGTGCCCTGTCTCCTCACACCCCCGCACCCCTGCCAGTGGCCCCTCCCCCTCCTGGGAAGCCCAACATGGGGCCTCTGTGCACCTGAGAGAGGCAGTGGTCAGGGGATGGGAGGGCTGGGGCGATGGCTTAAGATCTCACAGTTTCACTTGGGGTGATGGAAATGTCCGAGGCCTTAGTGAGGTGACAGTTGCTCACAGCTGCAAATACACTCGAGCTGCTGCATTGTACACCTTTGACCAGGTAAACTGTGTGGCGTGTGAATTACAGCTCAGTGAAGTCGTCTTTAAAAAACTACCAGGGTGCCTGGCTGGCTGGCTCGGTTGATGGAGCACACGACTCTCCATGTTGGGTGTAGAGATTACTTAAAAATAAAATCTTTTAAAAGGAATCAACTAGCAAGAATAGGTCTCCTCAGGGCAGTCTTAGGGAGCCCCTTCCTGTGAGTTGTGGCAGAGTCCTCCATGCAGGGCCGTGTCTTCGCCCTGATATCCTGCCACCCTGCATCCATGTGGGCGTCTCCCCAGGAGAGAATGGGAGGTGGGCTCTATCAGAAATCACTTTGCACCTGCCATGGTCCCCAGAACCAGGGCTTGGACCAGAGTGTGACAAGTGCTGTCCTGCAGCTGGTTCCATCCTAAGGTCTGCTCCGTCCAGCGCCAGGCCCCACGGAGTCCTTGGGTTCCTGGGGCTAGGGCCACACTGAACCCCCACATCTGCTGAGCATCCTCAATTCCCTGATTGTGGGTTGAGTGACCTGTGTACACTTGCTCACACCAGGCCTGGGCATGGTCCTGGGTGGCGGCTGGTGGCATGGGAGGACATGTTCTTCTAGGCCAGGCAGCCCTCGATGTGCATAAAACCTGCTCAGAGCTGTTCCCTGGGGGGCAGGGGTAAGAGCCAGTTCACCCGCAGGCCCTAACTTCCCTCTAGCCTCTAGTTTCTGACCTTCCTCTCTGTCTTCCAGGCGTCCGTGGGCTCCGAGAAGCTCTTTGCCCCAGCAGCCGATAAAGGTAAGCATGTTCCTTGGCCTCTAGGAGAGGACCGCGTATATTCCAGAAGCCATCATGAGAAGGGACAATGGGCCTCTTGGGGCAACAGAGTGGGCTCCAGGTTAAGCCCTATCATGGGTTGGGTTGGTTGTGGACACAGAGTCTGAGGCAGGAGTTAGATGCTAGGATTTATAGTCTATCCGTTCCCCACCGCCCAGCGAAAGCTACAGGGAAAACAGAAGTCAGGGGCAGGGCCAGCAGTGGAGCAGTGGTTCCCAAAGTGGGGTTCCTGCCCCTTTACGGAACTGCTAGCAAGACAGGTTGTCAGACCCTCTCCAGGCTCATGGGGTCAACTGGCAGCTCATGGTTTTGGCACTTGCTGAGCACCCATGCCATGGTGTAGGCTGGCTGCCATGCAGGGACCAGATCCCTGCACGGCAGCCCCAACCCCTGGCCCATGGCCCCCATATCGGTGGCACAGGTGCAAACCATTTCGTGGTACCGGACAGCTATCCTGGCCAGTGCTGCTCTAGAGAGTGCATCCATCCCATCCGAGGCCAGGAAAGGCTGTTGTCACCCAGCCTGTCAGTCTTGACTGTGGTCCAGAGTAGGTGTCCTTGGACCCAGTACCGAGAAGGGGCCGTTTTGCTTGGAGGCGCCATCTGGATGGGACTAGACACATCAGGTCTCACAGCACAGACAGGTACGTGTGTGCAGTGTCTGGTCCCTCGGGTTTGGTAGCAGGTTTGGTAGTCTCCACGATTTTTTTTGGAGAAGCCTCGTCCTCAAAGGAGAACATTTCAACAAAGCCCCCTCATCTGGACAGTTAGGGAAGGAATGCCAGACAGGTCAGGGGAGAGAGGCACGCTCTGCTGGCTTTTCACATGGAGTGTGGTTTTCAGTAACTGATCACAACCTGGGTGGCTCAGAATGGGCAGACACTTACCATCTCAACAGTTCTGGAGACTAGAAGTCTGAAATGAAGATGTTGGCAAGGCCACGCTCTGAAAACTAAGGGAGATTCCTTCCTGCCTCTTCCACTTCTGGGTGTCCCTGGACTTGGGGCCGCCTCCTTTTTCCTCACAAGGACACCCACCACTGAGTTTAGGGCCTATCCTATTCCAGATTGATGTCATCTCAAAATTCTTAGCCTGATGACATCTGCAAAGACCCTTTTTCCAAATTGGGTCACATGCACAGGTGCTAGTGACTACAATGTGGACACAGCCTTCTGGCACACTACCAGATCCACTACGAGGTCCACTCACTGACATAGGCAGGGCTCAGGAAAGCAGGGCTCTCAGGTGCCCAGGGAGGTTCCTGCTGGGTGATCCCTGGTGGTGCTCATGCTTCCCCAGAGAGGGGAGAGGCGCACACTATGTCTGCCCTTTCTGTCTTGATGGCCACTCTTACTTTGCAAGGGGCTGGCAGGAGAGGCAGGATGCGAGAGGAGGCTGGGGGAGTGGCGGGAGTGCCAGGCTGCCAGCCCTTGGCAACTGTAAGCCAGTGGATCGAGATGGTGCCATGACCCATGGGGCTGAAGCCATCGGTCCTCCTCAGTTCTGTCCCTGATGAGTGGGGGCTGCAGAGGGAAGTGGCACCCTAGTGGAGGCAGAAGGAGCCATTTCCTGCTGCCACCTATTTTGCTGCCACCTGTTCCTACCAGGGAGGAGATGTCCCAGAGGTCCCACAGAGTCGGCCTGAGGCCCACGGCCATGCAGCAGCAGGGGAAGAGGTGCATTTTGCTCCACTTTGCGTGCCAAGGGCCTTTGCGGCCCCCAGAAGGAAGTGAAACCTGCCAGTGGCCCAGAAGGGTGACTACTGCACCCAGGAACCTGGATTCCCATCCTCGAAACTGGGCCATTGTCTGCTCCAGGCAAAGCCTCCTCTGGCCTAGACATGTGTCCTCTGCCCAGCCTGTTTTGGGTATTCCTTACCCACCTGGCCTCTGGGCGTGTGACTGGGGTTTGCAGTGAGTAGGCAGGAGGTCACTGTCAGGAGCACACGCCTGGCACAAATGCACAGCTCCAAGGAAGGCAGCACCTGCTGGGTCAGCCTGGATGGGAGATGAGGGACAGTGGGTGTGCTGAGCCTGGGGATGACCTGGGTGGTGACGGACGGTGGGGGGGCTGGGGGGCGCAAGCCACTTCCTCCCACCAGGTTCGGGTGAGGCCAGTTGCCGGCCCAGAGAGCGATCAGGCTGTGGGTCCCCTGGTTAGCTTCAGAGAAAAAGCAGGCCCCTAGCACAGGCGTTGCTGAGCGGCAAGGGCAGCGAGTGAATGAGTGGTGGAGGTGGGAAGGGCCTGGACCCAGGGCGCAGCAGGTTCGGAGCCAGTGCCCCGCTCCGGCCCACGCGCCCACGCGGTGCTGCCCTTTGCCTGCCGTTGCCTGGTCGTGATGCCGGCGCCGGCATCGCTGCTCCCTGCAACGGCAGCGCGCCCTGGCCCGGCAGGCCCTGGCCCCAGCGCACTGTGAACTGGGTGGTGGGGGCTCAGCCCTGGCTGTGACTTCGCTGCCATTGTCACCGAGCCCCCCCCCACTCGGGCCCTCTCTCCGCAGGCCCCACGCTGGGCGAGGAGGCCGGGCCGCCCAAAGTCTCGGGCCTGGAGCGCAGCCGCGAGCTGAGCGCCGAGCCACCCATCCTGCCCCCCGCCGGCCCCGCCTCGGGCGCCCTGGCCAGCCCGCCCGTCAAGAAGGAAGCCCCGGCCCTGCCCCGCCTCACCCCGCAGCCTCCGCCCGCAGCCCCGCAGCCCCGCGCCCCGCTCCCGACGCACGTGCCTCTGCCCCTGGGCGCCTTCGCCGGCCACGGCCCCGGCCCCGGCCCCGGCCCGGGTCCCGGTCCCGGCCGGGCCGCGGCTGCGCACAACGGCCTGCACGGCTTCAGGTGGGGGCGGGGCCGCACGCCTCGGGGGGCGGGGCCTGCAGCCTCGGGGGCGGGGCCGCGCGGATGCCCGCCCCCGGCACTGAGCCCCGCTCCCCGCAGCAGGAGCAGCAGCGCCGGCAGCAGCGCCAGCCTCGGGCTCGCGACGCACGCGTCCCTGTCGCCTCTCGGGCCGGGCCCCCACCTGTCTACCTCACACTTGGCGCTCCGCTCGCAGGCCCAGCACCAGCACCACGCGGCGGCCATGTTTGCCGCTCCCCCGACCCTGCCCCCGCCCCCGGCGCTGCCGGCCAACAGCCTGGTCGTCCCCGGACACCCTGCCGGTAGGTGCTGGCGGGGCTCGTGCTGGCGGGGCTCGGGTCACCGCCCCCAACGCTCTGGGCAGGGGGGGGCCTCGGTGTCCCTGGGGAAGGGTGCTGCGGCGCCTCCCCTACCTGCCCCGCACCTCCGGGGTGACGGCAGGGGCCGGGCCGCAGGCTGCCCTTCCCAAGGGCGTCCTGCTCCCCGCGGAGGAGCCTTCCTGCCTGGGCCCGGGTTGTGCACACGCAGGCAGGTGCGCGGGTGCCACCTACGTGCACGCGGACGCGGACGCGTTCCCCGGCTGCATCCCGGGCCCTCCGCCCTCCGCTGGCCGCGTCCGAGCAGCTCCGCCGCCACCGCGCGTCCCTCGTGTGTCTGGAACCAAGGACCTGGGCCCGTCCTGGGGGCGTGTAGAAGCCTGGTGTAAAGGGCTTCCAGGTGCGGGGCGGGAGCCTGGTCTCTCCCTCGCTGCGTGGTTCCAGATGCCCTCTCAAGGCCGAGTATCAGGTCACTGAAGACTTCTCCCGTGGAGCTTGACTCCCGAGTTGTCTGCTTTTTTTTTTTTTTTTAGATTCCCGAGCCACCCGATGCAAGTCCGGGGCAGCTCGGTGCCCTGGGATGGGACCAGGATGCTGGGCTGGGCGGGCAGGGCTCCCCTGTGGCCGGCTCGGGGGCACCGGCAGCTCACGGTGTTCTCTCTTGCCTTTAGATGCCAGCCTGTTGATCTCATTCAGCCAGCCAATCATGTATTGCCAGCCTCATTCGGGGATTCTGATTGGTACTTGGTCACAGGCACCTCTCTTACCTGCACCCTGGGGCCCGCACCTAGCGAGCGGCCAGCACGGCTTGGCCTGCCGAAATCGGGAGTGCCAGGTGACTATCTGCCTCGCCCCGCCGGGAGCCCGCGGCCGACGTGCCTCTCCGTCTCTCTCTCTTTTTCTCTTGTAGATCACGAGCTGCTCAGGCAAGAGCTGAACGCGCGTTTTCTGGTCCAGAGCGCTGAGCGGCCCGGCGCCCCCCTGGGCCCGGGGGCTCTGCTGCGGGCGGAGTTCCACCAGCACCAACACACACACCAGCACACACACCAGCACCAACACACATTTGCCCCCTTCCCCACGGGGCTGTCCCCGACGCCTCTCCTGCCGCCCACCGCACCCCCGCCGGTGCGTAGGCCCTCCACGCGTGCGGGCGGGGGGCGGCCCGGGCAGCGGGACACACGGCAGGCACACGCTCTCTGCACGCACACAGGTTCTTACCGTCCCTTTCTGTCCATCTGGCCTCGCTGTCTGGTCCTTCTCTGGGTCATGTGATATCCCCAGTCCTGGGCCTGGGCAGGTGCTCCACATCCACACACTGGATGAGGTGGCTTCAGGGCCAGTCGCATCCACACAGGGTTTTCAGCAGATCCAGAGACAGGAATGAGCAGGGCCGGGGAACCAGGACTCCCTCCCATGGGCCCCAGATCCTGGGCCCCTGTCTCCTGAGCCACTTGCTGTGGGAAGCAGAGTACACTATCCCTAGGTTTTGCTCTGTGAAGGACCTATTCACTGGGGGCCTGGGTGCGTCTCACTGCTTGATCACCAGCCCTGGGCTCCACCCCCTGATCATGGCTGCAGCATCTCTTGGGCCTCAGCCCGTACCGTCAGATGGCACAGATGGGCCATGTGCAGTGGTACCATTAGACAGGTAGGGGCCCTGCCCAGTCTGAGAACTGGGGCCCAAGGGCCCAATTCAGGGCATTGGGCCAGTGCCCCCAGGGAGCTGCAGACCACCAGCTGCAGAAGGCAGGACCACCATTCAGGTCACCACCTGGCCCAACGGGGGTGTGGGTGCCGGGTCCAGCAGAGGGTGTGACGAGCTAGGGGAGGCCTCACTCTCCATTCTTTTTCCTTCCAGTTTGATAAATACGCACCCAAGCTGGACAGCTCCTACTTCCGACATTCCAACGTGAGTGTCCCTTCGAGGTCCCTGGGCTGGCCTGTGGGCTGCAGGTAGTGGGTAAAGGGTGGGGCTGTGCCTACCCAGAGGCCTTGTCAGGTTGCCTCCCACCTAGTACAGGGGGCCAGGCCCAGTGCACCCCCAGGACATCCATGCTCCCAGTGGGGCCTCTGGAACGCTCCCCCTCTTTCTCTTGCAGTTTTTCCCGTCCTTCTCTTCTGCCATCCCCGGACTGCCCACCCTGCTCCCACACCCAGGCCCCTTTGGGTCCCTACAGGGTGCTTTTCAGCCCAAGGTACCAGCTGTTCCTGCGGTGGGACGGGGTTCAGGGCCCATGGGAGCCCCTGCCATGCGGTTGTGTTGGGGTGAGCCAGCCATACCGGGGTGGGATGTGGCTGTGCAACAGCAGCAGCAGCAGCAACAGCAGCATGACCCCTGCCTAGGCAGCTGCAGCCTAGGGTTCTGGGGCAACCCCGTAGCACTGCTCCATGCACCCTCACTCCACTGGGAGTGCCTGAGGCTGGCGTGGGGAGGAGCAGGGCTGGCCACCCCACATAGCACAGAGTTGTCCATGCTGTAGGAGGCTCTCTCAGCCCCCCTAACCCAGGTGTGTCCTTGTCAGGAGCCCCTGCCCATCTTTGCAGAAACTTTTGGACTGAGGATGTGGGAAGCCAGGCATCCCCTGGTGGCAGTGTTTGGGGCCACATGGGGTCCTCTGCCTGGGCCCGGGGTCTGCACCTCTCACATCCTGTTTTCTCCCCCCCCCAGACTTCAAACCCAATCGAGGTAACAGGCCGGGCCAGTGCTGTTCACACCCTTCTCCAGAAAGCCCCTGGGGTAGGTGGCAGCTGCCCACCCGTCCCCCCTCCCTGGGGCCATCCCAGGCAGCCTGGTCTCCCTTGTGGAGGATGGTGGCAGCTGCGGGCAGGTCTCCACCCCCCACCCCCCACCCCCAGGACTCAGCCACCCCCAAGGCCTGGATCTGACGTTTCCTTCTCTGTTAATGACAGGTGTCCGACCCATACCGGACCACAGTCAGGGTGAGTTTGTGTGTCTTTGGGAGGAAGGGGTCTGGTGGGACCTCACGGAGGGTTGTGGCTGGGGAGGACTGCGGATCCAGGGAACAGAATGCAGAGGCCCTGGCTATGCAGCTGAGTGTGGCCCACCCTGTCATAGAAACCTGGGAAGTGGTGTGCTGTACACGTGCAGATTGCCTGGCAGATCTACCACCATCAGCAGAAGATAAAGGTGAGCCTATCCCTTGTTCTCCTGGCCAGGCTGGGGTGTCAGAGGGTGTCCCGATGCACGCATTTGGGACCGTGTCTGTGTGCTCCTTATGTGGGCATGGGGCAGGGCTGGAGAGGAGGCCAGGTGGTGGGGGTCACCCATCATGTCCCCAGGCAGGGGTTTGGGGGAGCTGACCTTGTGCTGGTCCCAGCAGCATCATTTGAGCCCTCCACAAGATCTGCGATTCTGTCCCCCATCCTTTTCTCCAAGCATTTGTTGAGCACCTGCTGTGTGTGTGCCTAGATGCCCAGCAGTGAACGAGGGGCGCTAAACATGTGCCTGGGAGGGGCCCCCTGGCGGTTACCCAGATGACACGAGAAGGGTTGGGGTTGCCTTGGAAGGGCGGGGGAGGCGGGAGAACTCCTCACCCAGACTTGTGCCCCAGCCCCCCTGCCCCCCCCATCCTCCACCTCACCCCCTGGTACAGAAAGATCTGGACACTCTTTGCTACCATTTCTGGCCACATGCCACCTCCATGCACAGCTTTCAAAAAACATCCCATCCAGAACATGCTATGAGAAGTCAGCAGGGTCTTAATGCCAAGATACTGCCTGTTTCCTTATGCACGTGTGTGGGGATAGCCCTGGGGGGGGGTGGCCAGTGGGGGCTGCCCCTGGGGGGCTAGGGCACCCCACCGCCAGGACAGGTACTACAGCAGGGCGGAACCAGGGAGCACTCTTGTGGCCACCACAATGGAGCCACGGGCTTTTTTGTTTCAATTAGTAAATTTAAATGTTAATCAGTTACTGGAAACTGAAACGTATCTAAAATGACTTAGGTCTGTGAAGCTACTTTTTCAACTTAATTTGACAGTCTCAACGTGGGTAAAGTGTTTCCAATGAAAACGCGAGCTCTGGATGGCGGTGCACTTCGGTGTAGAACACACCACTCTCCACGACCACCCTGTACATCCAGCACACGTCATACTGGCTGCGTGTGGCACTCCTGGGCCAGGATGGGGGTTTTCCATCCCAGCGGGGGGATTGCTTGCTTGTCAGCAGCCGTGGCTGTCTGGACTGCAGGCCGCGCATGTGCTTTGTCCTCCCCAGCAGATGCAGCTGGACCCTCACAAGCTGGACTTGGCCAGCAGACCCCCAGCCCCAGGCGTGTTTGCTGGACTCCACTACCCGCAGGACCTAGCCCGGCCCCTCTTCGGCTCGGGTGAGCGCCCTGTCCAGAGCACAAGGCAGGGGGGAGGGCTGGCGGGCAGAGATGATCCTGCCTGTGCCCTGGGCTGGCGCTCCAGCAGCCTCGGCATTTTTGTTTATTCCCCGCTGCTGCACGCTGTCACCCACCCCCTGGCCACCCCCTGGTGTCCTACCGCGTGTGGGGTGCCCTCCCCAGGCTTTCCCTCATCTTGCAGCTTCACTTCTGATGTCTGTCCAGGCCCCACCTGAGGCAGGGAGGGGCAAGAATCCCTTCCCTCTCCAAGGAAGGGTTTTGGCTCTGCTCCGAGAATCTGCGTGCTTGCCCTGCACCAGCAGCCGCGGGCCACCCTTCCAGGACTCGTCACTTCCACTGCCAAGATGCATCCCAGAGCAGGGATGCAGCAAGATGGGCAAAGGGGAAAGGCGCATAGGGCGAGATGAGCAGGAAGCCAGGCATAGGACTGCTGAGTTCTGTCCTGGGGGACCCAGGACTCCTCCCCTTTCCTCACCAAGTGTGGTGGTGCAGGGAGGCTCACAGGCCCGGCACTCAGGGTCCCTACTGGGGCTGCCCAGGTAGGGTTCTGTGCCTGCACACACTCACACTGCTGACTCCCGAAGGAAAGCAGGTGGTCAGCGTAAACCGTGTTTGCACAAGTGAATGAGGTTCACACGGCACTCCTGTCCGAGGAAGTTGAGGACCCCCAAACTCCCAAGTCCCAGCCTCACATACCGTCCCTCCCGAGGCTGCCTGCCTCTGGGTCTGCCGCTCCCCTCCCCAGCTGTCAGGATCTTGTAGACACTGCCTTCTCAGAAACACCCCACACACACCAGCCAACTGCCCTGCTGTGTGTCCACACACGCTCCCTGCACCTGCTGCCACCTCACACCCAGACGTGTGGTCAGCGAGGGCCCCGGAAACAGTTTGCAGTGCTGGCTGTGGGCACGGGCCCCCAGGCTGGCCTCACAAGCATGGGCGCTTCTCTAGTTCCTGGCCCCAACACCCTGGTGGTCTCCAGACCCTAATCTGGGCAGAGGGTCTCCTGGTGTCTGTCCCTCCCACCTGGTGTTCAGTCCCTAGGTCCACAGGACGTACATTCATCGTGGGGCCCAGGCAGTGGGCCTTGGCTTCCTCTGCTGTGTGGAGCCTGGACTTGGCACCCATGCCGTTCCCCGCCCTCCACACACCCAGACCAGGGCCACATGGTCATGGACGCCGCTGGCCTACCCTGCTTGTCAGGCATCTCCTCTTGCACCAGAGCTCTACCCCCGGGCCTTCTTGACTCCTCAAGCTGGGAGCTTGCCTATCGCTTGTTGGTCCTTTCTCAATGCGTGTGCCCTAAAGGGACACTTCGCCCCACACACATCTTCATTAGCACCAGAGCAAGCTGTCTCTTATTTTCTGATTTCCAGTTTGATTTCTTCGACCTGTGAGTCATTCAGGAGAGTGGCTAGCTTTCTGGTGGGGGCTCCTGGAGATTAGAAACTGCGTGCAGCAGCCCAGCAAAAACAAACCCTCCACTGCGGGTGTCCCCCGAGACTGGGGATGCTGGAGAGCGAGGGCAGGCCACATCACCAGTCTTTGCCAGAAATCCACCCCCCAGAACGAAGGGTATATGCCCCACCCTAGCAGTAGAGCCAGTCCCCCAACCCAGCAGCCCCTTCTCAGGGCCTGTGCCTACCCCAGCTGCCCTGGAGGTGCGATTGGGGCCGGGCTCCAGCAGAGCTGACCCCGTGGTGACACCTGTGGGCTGTGGCTGGAGGAGACCACATGAGGAGATGCCGTCTTCAGTGGCTTTGTCCCCTAGGACACTGTGATGTAGCCAGGATCATTTCTTAGCTTCTAGTTGGAAGTCTTGGGGTCAATGTCTAGAGGACAGCCTGGAAAGCTCTCTCAATGTCCCCCCCCCCCCCCCCCCGTCCCTCACGCACTTCCACTGGAAGGTATACACTGGTTCCCAGAGGCAGCTGGCATATCCCCACCCTGGGAGCAAGCTATAAACAGGAGCCCTCAGGTGTGTCAGGCCCCTGACAACCTGCCCCCACAGGTGCTGCCCATCCCACCACCAACCCATTTGGACCCCCGGCCCATCCCAGCAGCTTCCTGACCATGGGTCACCTGACAGGTAGGTGTGCTCTCAGGTCACTGAAGTCTGTGACAGGCCTTCTGCAGACCTCAGAGGATCTGGGAGAGGGTGTGTGGTGGGAAGAGGTGACCCCTCAGACCATATACGTGGCACCTGCCATGTTCTGGTATCATGGGTAGGAGGAGAGTCAGATGGGAGCCCTGGCATGAGCCATGCAGAAACCTGGACCCCACTTGTCCCCACAGACCCTTTCAGCAGGCCAGGTACCTTTGGGGGCCTGGGGAGCCTGGGCAGCAACGCCTTCGGAGGCTTAGGGAGCCATGCACTGAGTGAGTGACCACCACCCTTGCTCCCTGCTCGACCCACTCGTACACACGGGGCTTCTGGTGTGGGTTTGGGCTGCACCCTGACCCCTGGCTGACCGTGACACTCTGGCTGCCTCCCTGGGATGCAGGAACGGTGTGCTTCTCCCCAGCAGCCCTGCGGTTCCATTGGGGCACCCTTGGTGGGGGTGGGCACGCTGTCCTGGCCTCTCACTGCTGCCCCTCTCCAGCTCAGGGCAGCGGCATCTTTGCCCCCAAGGAGAGCTCCTCGCTGCATGGCCTGCCTAGCCCCCATGAGACCTGGAATCGACTGCACCGGGCGCCCCCCTCGTTTCCCACACCACCCCCATGGCCTAAACCTGTGGACCCTGATCGGGTCTCAGCCCTGACCAACCACGACCGAGAGCCGGACAAGGGCAGGGAGGAGCGGTGAGTGGCACCCCCACTGTTCCCAGGGCCTCCGGCTGGCTTTGCAGAACTCTGGCTCTGCCCTGGAGATCTCCCTCGCTGTACCCTCAAGGCCGGGAAGGCCAATGGAGAGAGGGCCCCCAGGGAGAACCCCTGGTGGGGCAGGATTTAGGCAGGAGCTATGGAGAGGGAGGGTCCACCCCTGGAAGCCGCATGGGAGATGGACAGCTCATGGACCACCGTGGGGCCTCCGCAGGGAGCCCAGACCAGCAGGGCAGCAGAGCTATCTGCATCTTTTAGGTAGGGGCCCCTGCGGGAGGGTGGGCCTGAGAGGATGGGCCGAGTCAGGCTGCCGCAGGGCAGCAGGAAGAGACTGGGGTAGGGGAGGTGGGGGTCCAGTTCCAGAGTCGGCAGCAGAGTCAGAAGCATGAGGATGGAGTTGTGGCTGGCTAGTGGGGTGGGCAGGAGCAGGGGAGGGCTGTGACCAAGCCCCTCCTGTCGGGGGGTCCCCAGCCAAGGCCGCAGTTCCACACCAGCCCTGGAGGCCATGCCCTCTTCCTTGCCCCTGTATTCAAGGCACAGGGCAGTGGGGCCTTGTGAATGGGAGCTATGGTCAGCCATAGCCAAGGCAGGACCCTGGGGCCCCCTTCCCAGAGTGTACGTGGAGACCCCATTCCTCGCTGAGGGGCCTCTTGGCTTGGGACTGGAGGGAGATCTCCATGTTCTGCTGCAAAGCTTCTTCCTGAGCAGTTTGTCGGGGGAGCGAATCGTGGGGGTCTCGTGAGGCCTGCATGAGGTGTGGGTGTGTCCCTGTGTTGGCCGGGCAGTCGGGGGCAAACCCCCTACACACACCCACACCCCAAGGACCTGAGGTTACACGGGGGACGTTGCAGTAAACCGCTTGCCTCAGGGGCACCTGTTCCAGAAGCCCCGCCTGGTCTTCCCCCCGCCCCGCCCCCGGCTGAGGGGCGGGGTCTGCCTTGTCCATTCCAGGGACCTCCTGGAGAAGACGCGCCTGCTGAGCCAGGCCTCGCCCTCGCCCACAGCCCCGGCGGGGGCCCCGGTCAGCAGCCTCCTGCTCCGCGGCCAGGGCGAACCCCGCCGGCCCGGCGTCCTCGCCGAGCGCGAGCCGAGCCCGAGCGCGAGCCCCGCGTCAAGGAGAGCTGCTCTCCGGCCCAGGACGACGGCGCCAAGCCGGCCGCGCGCCCGCCGTCCCCCTACTGCAAGGCGGCCCTGGGCGACAGCCTGCGTCTAGCCGGCCTGCTGAGCCGGGAGCTGGGAAAGCCCTTGCAGGTGCTGGCCCAGCGGCCCCAAGGGGACGTCAGGGTCAAGGAGGAGCGCAGGGAAGACGGCGACGCGCCCGAGCCCCCCGCGGCCGGCTTGCACCCAGCGCCCGATCACCCACGCGCGCCCCCCGCGCCCCTGCAGCCCGGGCTGGCCCCGGCGGCCCGCGAGCGCCTGGGCTTCACGTGGGAGACCCTGCGCGATGCCTACCGCGGCCTGGAGCTGCCCCGGCGCGCCCTGCCCGCCGCCCCCGCCGCCCCCGCCCCGGGCCCCGCCGCCCTCTACGAGCCCCCCGAGCGCCCCTACCGTGACCGCGAGCCCCACGGTTACAGCCCCGAGCGCCTGCGGGAGGCGCGCCGGGAGGAGCTGGAGCGCACGCGGGCCGCACCCCTGGACGGCGCCGCGCTCCTGCCCGCGCTGGGCGCCCTGCACTACCCGCGCCTCGGCCCTGCGGCCGCCGCGCTGCACCGCGGGCTCCTGGCGCGGACCCCGCCCGCCGCCGCCGCCGCCGCCGCGCTGGGCGCGCCCCCCACGCCCCCCGGGCCGCCGCCGCCGCCGCCGCGGAGCAGGACTACGCCGCTCGGGGCCCACGGGCCCGAGGTGCGCGACTACTCCCCGTCGCGCAACCCGCAGGAGGTGGAGGCGCGGTAGTGCCCGGCCCGGCCCCGGCCCCGGCCCGCCCGAGACCTGCCCCGAGACCTGCCCCCGCCCGAGACCTGCCCCGCCCGAGACCTGCCCCGCGCGCGGCTGTAGGGGGCGGAGACGGGGGCGTCTCTGGACCCGAGGCACAGCCCCGTGGGCCGGGGCGACGCCGCCCTCCGCCTACAGCCCGCGCGTGGGGGAGTCGAATCTGCAGCTTCGCTGGGGGCGCGCTTTTGTTTTCCGAGCTTGAGCCTGGGCTCCTGGGAGAAAGTTCATGTTTGTACATCTTTTCCCACAGGTGAGAAGCGTTTTTAAGAGATTTGTATTTTTTTCGACTTTGTGCTCTTTAGACATTTAAAAAGAAACGAGAATTTTTGCTTTTTTATCTTCAGTTCAGATTTGCGACGTAAAGGCCTCAGATCCCTCTCTTAGAGCCCCAGGATCTTTTGTCTTATTTATGGAGAAAAAAAACGGTCATTTTTATCCAGCGCACTGTGAGGCCCCCACCTTCAGGGCTGGCCTGGCCCTCCCTTGGTACTTGGAACCGAAGTTACAGATATATATTAAAATAATAATAATGTACAAAACTTTTTTGCCTTATGCAGAAGCATAAGAGGATTTCTTTTTTGGTTTGTTTAAAAAAAACATGAAATATGTAAATAGCCTGTTAATATAAATATATGACATTATTAAATTCTTAACCTAGGTAGACTTTATAAAAAGCAGTTTCTAGAAACCTTTCTGGTTATTTGTTTAATATGGTCACAAAAAACCCACTCGCTGTCAGTTGAAAATGCTTGGAAGCGTCACTGCAGCAGATCTTTCAACTATGCAAGCGCTCCGAGGTGGGACTGGCCGCTGTCTGGGGAGGAAGCTTCCCGCTGCCTGGCAGCACGTCGGAGCTGCTCCCAAGCTCCCGGACCCACCCTCCTCGGTGGCCACTCGACTGGCCACTCCGGTCTTGAGGACATCTCTGGACTCTAGCGCTCATTGTGCAGCGTTCTTGGAACCCATCCCAGGCAAGTAGACGTTTAGTAGGAGTGGAGAGTCTAACGGTTCGTTGCAAACAGAAATAGCAGCTTATGTCCACTCTCTTCCATGTGAAAGCCGTCAGCAGGTGTTTCTCAGCGTGCTCCTCCACCTGTGGAGGCCTTGGCATGATCTTTCGATTTTGGTTTTGCTTTCATAACCACCTGAACGTCCCCTTGTCCTGACCTCAGTGTCCTTTCTGTTCCCTGCTGTCCACACCTGTGTCCACTGCACTTTGGAGCCTCATGGGTTCAGCCCTCTGCAGCCATCTGCTCTGTTCTGTATTCCCAAGCCATGTTTCCACTGTGGACTCTGGTTGTTTTAAACATTCAGTTCACGTGTCAATCAATGAAGATAAATACAGGCTTGATTTTGGATCACGAGGTGGTCAGGTGTTTTGCGTGTCATTGTAGAAGGTGGGGGATCTTGCCCCCCTCCCCCAGGGCAGTGCAGTGCGCCGGGTGGAGCGGGGCTGCTGGTCCCCTTTATCTAGAAGCAGAGCACCTTCCCTGGGCTCTGTCCGTGCCATCCCTAGCTTTGCCTGGACTGGCGCCCCCAGGACTGTTCCTGCTCTTGGAATGCCTCTCCCACCCCATCAGCCCTGTCCCCTCTGTGCACTGGGTGGAGGGTCACATCCCTGGAATGCTGGCCTTGCCCCTGCAGCCCCGGTACCACATGGAGCCAGATGAGCCTTTTTATGGAGAAATGAGGGCTCAGGGAAGGAGAGGGCGAGGCAGAACTAGCCACCTCTGCTCCCGGCCCGTGGTTCGGAAATGGGGGCCCTGACACGGTGCCCTGAATGGATTTGCCTTTGTTGGGTGAGCAGCCAGGCCTGAGCCTAAGTAGGGCCCTCCATATGGAGGCCTGGGGGCCCCCCACGGAGCCCTCTGTGTCCAGTGGTGACGCTAAGCCCAAGCCAGCTGCCAAGCAGAGCAGGGGTGAGGAGAAGCACAGCCCTGGCCAGCCCGCCGGCCCCCAGGGCTCTGAGAACCTACCCATAGGTAAAATGGGCATGTGGGTGCCAATCAGACTCTTCCCTGAGACCACCTGGGATTCCAGGCATATCCTGTAAAGAGAGAAAACATTTGAGCTAAAAGCCAAAGGAGACAGTCTGCATTCAACCACAGGGTGGAGAGGAGTACTTTCCACCCCTGTCCCAGGCAAGGGCCCCTGGTGGAATGTTACCCATGGGAGAGAGTGTTGGTATCTGCATGGAGACAGGCTTTCTCATCCCTAAGGGATGCCATTTTCTCTAATGGGGTGTTACCCATGAGGAGGATCACTCGTGACGGAGCAAATCCATAGTGAAATTCTGTCCCTGGGAGCACACTGCTGGAGCATCCTCCTGGGAGCACTCTGGTGGAGCATCTTCCTGGGTGCAGTCTGTGGTGGAGAGTCCTCCTGGGAGCACTCTGGTGGGCACCCCCTGGGAGCACTTCCTGGGAGCATTCGGGTGGAGTATCCTCAAGGGAACATTCTGTGGTGGGTACACCGTGGGAGCACTTTGGTAAAGTGTCTTCCTGGGAGCACTCTCATGGGCACCTCCTGAGAGTATTCTGTGGTGGGTACTTCCGTGGAGCACTCTGGTGGGCGCCTCCTGAGAGCCCTCTAGTGGAGCAGTCCCCACCAAAGGCCCTAATCTACAAGAGTGGCCTATAAGGCACTATTACCTGTCATGTACCACCAAACTCCGGGGACCCAGGGTCTACACTGAAACATTATTCCCTAGGAAGTGTCTTTAAAATCAGAATAATGGTTGTCAAAGATTTTCTATAAAAGGGTTAAAAGATAAGAATTTACAAAATTTGTAAAATCTCCTAGAAGGTAAAACAAAAAGATGAGTTGAAGAACGGGAAAAACAAAAGAGGGCCTTCCCAGGACACCCATCATCTGACTCCTAGAATTTTCAGGAAAAAAGATCCGACGCAAGGTGGGGGGAGGGCATTTAAATGAAGGATATGGACAGCACCCCAGCCAGGTTGGTCAAGAATAAAGACATGTTCTGACATGGTGTTTTTTCCGTGTCCTTGCTTTGGAAGCTACTGCAGGAGAAATTTAAGTGAACTAACATTGTAACCCAGGGACTCGTGGCACAGTGGTTGGGCATTATCTGCCTTTGGCTCAGGGCGTGACCCTGGAGTCCCGGGATGGAGTCCCACATCGGGCTCCCTTCATGGAGCCTGCTTCTCCCTCTGCCTGTGTCTCTGCCTCTCTCTCTCTCTCTCTCTCTCATGAATAAATACAATCTTTAAAAAAAAAAAAAGATCGTAACCCAACAGAAAGAACCCACATGGGGAGCTCAGTGGAGGGAAGACCCAGGGTGAGTCAGCCCTCCATGGCCCGGGCGGTCCTGCGGGAACCGCTGCGCACCAGCTGTGTCCCTAGCTCCTATGGTGCCTGGGCCTCTGAGGGCCCTGGCTCGGGTTCTACTCCCTGGTGCGAGGCCACCCGGGCCACTGGGGCCCTCCTGGGAAAGGATGTGCTTCCTGGAAATGCACTCATGGAAGCTCGGGGAGCAGAGGCAAGGCCCACGGCGCTTGAGCCACTTCCAGGTGCAGCGTCCCCAGGCACTTCTGACTCCCGCGCCCCTCTGCGGTCAGGCTCTCGGGCTCGTCCCCGGTCTGGGGTCTCCTCTCTCCGCGGGGCAGGTGCCCCCCGCCCGCCCAGCGCCCCACCAAGCATCCCTCCTGCCCTTCCAGGACCCAGGTGGCAGCAGTGCGGGGAGGGCTCCAGCGCCAAGGCTCCCTCCCGCCCCCCTCCCGCTCCGTGGCTCCTGGAGGTCCGAGGGGGATCCCGCGGGGCAGCGCCAACCAGGGGGCCCCGCTGGGGCTCTGGCTCCCTCCCCGCCGGCGATCGCGCATCTTCCCAGCGAGGCCCATCTCGGCAGCGCCCTGTCCCTCCGCCACCCCCTCCTGAAAGCCGCGACGCGCTGGCGGGGCCCCGGGCTGGGGGACGGCCGCGGCCGCGGGGCACCAACCAGGGCGACACCTCTTGCCACTTCTGATGGCTTCACCCTGGGGCAGAGACCGCGGGGAGGGGGGCCCAGGAGTTCCCCGCACCCGGGCCCCCGCCAGCGCTCACCTGGAGAGGAAGGGACGCCCGTGCGCCCCCGCCCGCCCGGGCCCCTGCCCCGCGGCCCGAACCCGAGGCGCAGGCGGCGGCGGAGCAGCTCCTCCCCGCCCGCGCCCGGCGACCTGTCCCGCCCGCCCGGTCCTCAGCCTGGGGACTCCCGCTGGTTGTGACCCGCTGGCTCCAGCCGCAGCCCGGAGCACCGAGAACGGACCCGCCCGGGGCCCGCGGCAAGAACAGCAGCGCAGGGCCTGGACTTCACCCTGCGCCCGCGCAAGGGCCTCCCGGACCTCCTGCGAGGGCGGGTGGGGACGCAGCGGCCCGGCGGGGAGTGCCCGGGGGCGGCCGGGGCGACAGCGCACAAGCCTGAGCCGCGAGATGCCCTGAGCTGGGCCCACGGAGCGGCCAACGGGAGCTTCTCATCTTCTACCTCATCTCGATGCCTTTGACTGCTCGCTCTGGCGATGGAATGAAAGACCGTTTGGCTGGGAAATGCCAGGGAAAGGACAGCTCGGTCCCAGAAGGCTCGCAGGCTCGTGCCCACGTTCTGGGGTCCTGGGGTCCTGGGGTCCCTGAGCACCTGGGCGTTATCAGGCGGACAGGAGAAGAGAGGTGATGTTATGAACTGGAGTTGGACAGGTCTGCGTTCAAGTGCTGGCACTGCCACTTTCTGCCTCTGTGAACTAGAGCGGATCCTCTTGGCCTGTCCTCATCTCCGTGCCCTTACTTGTAACCCAGGGCAATAGTCTGGACCCTGCAGGATTGTAGTGAGGATTAAACGAGATGAGGCCTGGCATACCATGGCTGTTCACCGAACAGTAGTGAGGCAAGAGAAGGAGGCAGCATGAATGTGGCAAAGCCCCGGTCACTGCAAGCGGTTTGGCATGATCAGGCCTTAGGAGCAACTGATGAAACTAGACGTAGGAGTCAACATCCTACGACAGCCTTCTACGGTGCTCACGTTACGTGAATTATGTAGATGTTGGAAACAATCAAACGTTCTGCCAGGTCCTGAGCACCTGGGCGCATCAGCGCGGGTGGATCGTCCCCCGTGGAGGGGGAGGCCCACCCCACATGACACCAGGGCTGCCGTGGGAAGGGCTCCAGACAGACGTGGGCAGCACCAACCCGAAGCCGTCGTGAGCAGACCTGTCCAGCAGCCTCCCCCGTATTTCTGTGTCCCATGATTTCAAGTCAACAAGGTAGAAGAAAACCGTATACGTGTGGAGAACTGTAGCCTGACGTTGGAAGAATCCGGAAAAATCAGGATTCAGAGTAGTTTACAGATAGAAGTCAAAACTTCAAAACAGCCAGCAGAATTAGAATCTAATATCCAAAAGTATGCATTTACGGCTACAGTGGAATCATAATTTTTCCTCTCAAAAATGACCCCCGTTTCTATCAGCAGCAACCACCGTAAGAGTGATTTGTTTGCACATTAGATCTAGTTTCAGTCAACTCGGCTTCACTGTCTATATCAGTGCAGCAGAATAGGGACTCTGTTAAATTCGCCTTGCTCGAACTTTTCATGAATAGTATCAGACATTAGAATTCTTTAATTTTGTGTTATGGTTGACGTACAATGTCATATTAAATATAGGTTACAACATAGCGACTCGACAGTTCTGTACATCACTCAGTGTTCACCATGATCGTTGGAGTCATCATCTGCCACCGAAAATGACAGTACAGTATCAGTAGCTATATTCCCTTTTGCCGTACTTTTCATCCTTGTGACATTTATAACTGGAGGTTTGTACCTCTACTCCTCCCCCCTGGTTCTCCCAACTCTCCAATCCCCTCCTCTCTGGCTACCACAAGTTCCCCGATTGCATTTAGGAGTCTATTTCTGTTTTCCTCTTTTTTGGTTTGTTTGATTCCACAGTGAATGAAATCATGGTATTTGTCTTTCCCTGACTTATTTCACTTAACACCTTCTGCTTCCATCCATACTGTTGCAAATGACAAGATTTCATTTATTTTTAAGACCGAGTAATATTCCGTTGTGTGTGTGTGTGTGTGTGTGTGTTCCACATCTTCTTCCATCATCTATCAAGGGACACTTAGGCTGCTTCCATAATTTGCCTATTATAAATAAAGCTGCAATAAGCATGAGGGTGCAGGTATTTTTTCAAAGTAGCATTATCATTTTCTTTAGGTAAATACCCAGCAGTGCAGTTACTAGATCATATGGTAGTTCTGTTTTCATTTTTTGGAGGAACCTCCATACTGTTCTCTACAGTGGCTGCACCAGTTGGCATCCCCACCAACAAGGCAAGAGGCTTCCCCTTTCTCTGCGTCCTCACCAACATTTTGTTATTTCTTGTCTTTTTGATTCTAGCCATTCTGACGGGTGTGAGGTGGTACCTCATTGTGGACTTGATTGCATTTCCCTGATGATGAGGGATGTTGAACGTCTTTTCATATCTGTAGCCATCCACATGTCTTCTTTAGAAAAATGTCTGTTCATGTCTTCTGTCCATTTTTATTTTTTTATTTTTTTTAATTTTATTTATTTATGATAGTCACAGAGAGAGAGAGAGAGAGGGGCAGAGACACAGGCAGAGGGAGAAGCAGGCTCCATGCACCGGGAGCCCGACGTGGGACTCGATCCCGGGTCTCCAGGATCGCGCCCTGGGCCAAAGGCAGGCGCCAAACCGCTGCGCCACCCAGGGATCCCTTCTGTCCATTTTTAATGTGGATTGTTTGTTTTGGGGGGTGTTGAAATTTATAAGTTCTTTATATATTTTGGGTACTTTTCATCAGATATGTCATTTGCAAATATCTTTTCCCAGTTGGTAGGTTTTCTTTTCATGTTGTTGATGGTTCCTTTCCCCGTGCAGAAGCTTGTTGACTTGACATAGTCCCAACGCATTAGTTTTCCATCTTTTTCCCTTGTTTGAAGATACCCATCTAGAAAACTACCTCTAAGGTTGATGTCCAAGAAATTACTGCCTATGTTTTATTTTAGAGTTTTACAGTGTCGGGGCTCACACTTAGGTCTTTAATCCTTTTGGAGTTCATGGATGGCATGAGCACGTGGTCCCATTACAATCTTCTGCATTTCCATTTGCTAGTGTCGTCTTCAATGTCTTTCATCCATATTTCATAGTTTTCAGAGCAGGAATATGCCTTCTGTCATAAGGCTCACTCCACTCTCTCTTCTCATATTGAGGAACCACAACAGTATGGTCAACCAATGTCGTGTTTCCTCTTGGAAGTGCCAATAGTGTAATTTTACAGTTTCCCAAGGAAGCACAGGCACAGGGATGTGTGGTGTCTCCTTCACCTCTGGCTGAGCTGTCTGGCATCTCAGACAACCAGGATTGCCCCCAAGATTATAGCTGTTCAAGAGTTTTCTCCATATTAACCTATCCTACTGCAACAATTGTCAGCCTACAGTCAGAGAAATAGCTTTTTTTTTCAAAGTTTATTTATTTATTATTTTATTTTTTTAATAATGAATTTACTTTTTATTGGTGTTCAATTTACCAACATACAGAATAACACCCAGTGCTCATCCCATCAAGTGTCCCCCTCCGTCCCCCCTGTCATCTGTTCACCCCCACCCCCCGCCCTCCTCCCCTTCCACCCACCCTAGTTCCTCTCCCAGAGTTAGGAGTCTTCATGTTCTGTGTCCCTTTCTGATATTTTCATGTCGTTTTTTTCAGTATGTTGTTATTTATAGTGATTTCTCCAACTGCTTCATGTCAAATTTCCATGTCCCTGTTTACTTCCGTGTAAAATTGATTTCTGTTTTGTCACACATTGCTAGTTTTGTCCATCTGGGCCCAACATGTGTCATTCTGAGATAATTTGGTTTCAAAAATGTTTAAAGTGTGATTCGAATGATCTGATATAGAAAAAAGCAGCTGCCAATGTCCCTCCAGTTGAAACTCCTACCAGTCAACATCAACTGTTTCCTTCCTTTTGGCAGATCTGGTTTGTTTTTGGTTTTTTGTTTTTTTTTATTTTTTTTTTCTAATGATAGTCACACAGAGAGAGAGAGGAGAGCAGAGACACAGGCAGAGGGAGAAGCAGGCTCCATGCACCGGGAGCCCAACGTGGGATTCGATCCCGGGTCTCCAGGATCGCGCCCTGGGCCAAAGGCAGGGGCCAAACCGCTGCGCCACCCAGGGATCCCAGGCAGATCTGGTTTGATACAGGTTTTAAGTTAGGCACCGAGATAGATGGATAACCCTGAACACCACCTGGGGACTTATATCTGATCTGAACTCCTGTATGTTAAATGTCAAGGCATGGCCTCTACTGTAGGTTCCAATATGTCTGTGAGAGGTTTTCTTAACATAGGTTCCCATATTCTTGGGGTAGACATCTGTGATGTGGGATTGAAGCCTGATGCACACCAATGGGGTAGTGATGTGTATTGTAGGCTGTTTTCATGTGTCCTCTATGCACCTTACAAGGTGTCCCTGTTCTTTTAAAGTCAGGACTTCGGGGATCCCTGGGTGGCTCAACAGTTTAGTGCCTACCTTCCGTCCAAGGCATGATCCTGGAGTCCCGGGATCGAGTCCCACGTTGGGCTCCCTGCATGGAGCCTGCTTCTCCCTCTGCCTGTGTCTCTGCCTCGCTCTCTCTCTGTGTGTCTCTCATGAATAAATAAATAAAATCTTTTAAAAAAATAAAAATAAAGTCGGGGGATCCCTGTGTGGCACAGCGGTTTAGCGCCTGCCTTTGGCCCAGGGCGCGATCCTGGGGACCCGGGATCGAATCCCACGTCAGGCTCCCGGTGCATGGAGCCTGCTTCTCCCTCTGCCTGTGTCTCTGCCTCTCTCTCTCTCTCTCTGTGTGTGTGTGACTATCATAAATAAATAAAAATTAAAAAAATATATTTAAAAAAAATAAATAAAGTCGGGACTTCGTGTCATGGATCTATTATTAACGTTCTAATTGGTGACTATGGATTAAATGTTGCAAGTTGGGAGTGATAAATGATTTTTTTTTTTTTGCCTATTTCTGTTTAAAGATCTAATTGCCCTTTAGGCAGATTCAGCAGCTGCTCTTCTACAATGAAATGCTAGCACACAAAGTAAATCAGGAATTAAATTGGGGGTGTTTTCAGAGTCTCTGCCTTGTGCCCAATGCTACATTCAATTCAGTCGGGTGAGATAAGGGAGAAGTACAAAAGCCGGTACCTGGTGGAGTTGCTGGGTTCTAATACCAGGTGCCAGTTAGTGGTTCTGTCCAATCTTCTTCCTCCAGGTCAGTGTGCAAGCGAGTGGTGTTCTGGTGCTTCACTGATCCTTGTGGAGAGCCAAGTGGAGGTTTCCACTGATGCATCCCTGCATATCCTGCTTCTCCAGCGATTGGGGTTTCCCAGAGAGCAGAAGGTCCCCAGTGCAAACTGCTGGAGCGTGGACAAGTTCCAGCAGGTCTGCTACTGGCACAGCTGGGATCTCCTCAGCTGATGCAGAGGGCCGACCTCCCATCTGTGTCCTGCTCAGAAATGTGCCATCTCCCTGTCAGGACTTGTGCTCAGGACTAGTTCCCCTCTGTCCATCAGGGCTCTGCTTTGCCCACGCCAGATTCGGCCCCTGGAGTTGACGGATTGTTGGTGTATTTTCTGGTAGTGGCTCTGTCTGCTGTTTGTGGGGTTTCGGAGAGACCTGGGGGGAGGGGGCGGGCGTTGAGGCAGTTGGTATCTGTTCTCAGCACCCGGGAACATCTCCGTGTAAAACCCACCGCGATAAAGCATATTTGTGATTTCAGTCCCTGCTGACTGTGTTGCAGCCCCTTGTGCATGGTGACACCCTGGTGTGCACCAGAATCCTCATTAGCTGGTGCCAACGTATCCTTCATGTGCTCACTGGTGTGGCTCTTTCAGTTTCTTCCAGAACGTTACTCTTCCTTCACAACTGGTCTGTTTGGTACAAGAGGCCTGGCTTTCAGCATATCTCTCTGTCAACATGCCTTCCTCACTGAGCTTAATCATGTCTAGCTTTTGATTTACGGCGAGAGGCATGCAGCTCTTTCACCTGAATACCTAGAAGCCACAGTAGGATCACTAGCTGCCTCGGTTTAGTACCGTTGTGTCTCAGAGACCAGGAGGCCAGAGGAGAAGGAGGGAGATGGGGACGGCAGTGGATGGAGCGGTCACCACACACACAGCACATACGAAGTTCGTCATTATGGATACAGGTGCCCCAGACAATTACAGTAGTGACGTCAAAGATCACCAGAACACGCAGCGTAACAGTGGAAGCATTTGGTATATGGTGAGCATCCCCAGCATGGGGCCAGAGACAAGAAGTGAGCAAATGCCATAGGAATAACGTCACTGATGGCCTTGGTGCCACAGGGTTGCCACACACCTTCAATGTGTAGAAAATATGAGATCTACAAAGCAGAATGATAAGCAGCGTGTCATTTTGTGTTTTACCCTTGGGTCAGTGTTCCAGTTTGAGGTAATTTTATAATGGGTGTAAAGAACCTCTATAATGGTTCTTTATTTTTTTGCACTTGGTTGTTCTGCTGTCCCAGTGCCATGTATGGAAGAGCCCATCTTTGTTCTGTCGTACGGTCTTTACACCGCTGGCAGCGATCAATGGACTATGTTGTAGCTCATTTTCTGCCCCGTTGATCTGTCCGTTCAGCAGGACCTCACTGTCTCCATCCCTGTCACTTCCCAGAGGCTCTGGATATTGGGTGGTGTCATAGGGCCAGTCCTCTTGCCTCCTTCTGGTCATTCAAGATGGAGCTGACTATTCTGGATCTTTTCTTCTCCATATAAACTAGAATCCATGTGTTGACATCCACCAAGTAACTTGCTGAGAATTTGGGATCTTATTCTCATCTAGTTGGAGTAGCTGGGCTTGTCCCTCCACTAAGTCAGTTATCATCATCACCTGCCCACCCTCCCTCATCATCTCTCATTATGATGTTGAAAAGCAGCGGTGGGAGAGGACATCTTTGCCTTGTTCCTGATTATAAAGTATAATGTTAGCTGCTCTTTATTAAGCTGAGGGAGTTCCCCCTTACTTCCAGATTGCCGGGGTTTTATCATAAATTGGTGCTGAATTTTGTCTAATGTTTTATCTGCATCTACTGCCCTGAAACAGAGCAAGTGTCAGGAGAGCCTGGGTCATGGGTCCTCTGCTCCTTCCAAGCCCTATCCCACACAGGTGCCAGGGCAGGAGCTGGACTGCCTGGCCAGGAGGGGGCCTGTCTGGCTGCTGGGGTCCCCTTCACCAAGAGACTCCTGGAACCCTGATGAGTGCTAAGCCCGGGACCCCATCAAACGGCCACTTGAAATGGTGGCTGACTTTTCCTAGTTTAAAGGAATCTTCAGAAAGATTTGGGGGCTGTGCTCCCTCCACCCTGGGGCCATGCATGTCCCAGCTGCCTATGGTTGGCCAACGGGGTATGTTTTTCACACACTTGCATCGATACTCAGGGTGGCCAGGGACCTGCCACAGTCGAAGCCTGATCACGGTGCAGCTGTCGGCAGCAGGAGGCACCTGCCTCTCTCAAGCCCTAACCCTTACACATGTGCCTTCTCCCTGTGAAGGCAGAGCTGGAGGAACAATCCTGGCAATTAGCGCCAAAAAGACACCTGGGAGCCTTGGTAGCTGGGGTCACCAGGGCCCTCGTCAGGCAGCCAGTCCACAGAGGGAGTGACTGCTGTCAGCCTAAAGCTGCCACGACAGGAAGATTTTCCGGGCATTCCCCTGCCTTGGAGGCTATGCTATTGGCGGAACAGCCTGAGTTCCACAGGCCTGGAGTGTCCTGGCTGCCGAGGCTGGCTGCTGTGTGTGTAGGGCACCAGCGCTGCTGCACAGCTTCGTTTAGCCAGGGACCTAAAACAACACCAGGGTCGAGAGGGGCTGGACCCGGAAGGGGCAAGCATGTGTCCAAGGAATCTGGATGATTCCAGGCCCTGACCTCCTCCAACACCTATAGAGGGGCCGGGCACCCAACAATGTGCACATTGGCATAGCGATTCCTCTCCATTAACCTGAGTCACAACACAGAGCCAGACCAGACCCTTCCTGGGTCGGCCTCTGGGTCGGACAGAAACAAGAGTTGTGCGAGTCCCTTCTCTCTTGCTTCCTAAACGTAAGCTGCAGGAGAAAATAGTTGCAGAGCTAGTTCCTTGGGCTTAGCGACTCTGGTGAATTTGGTTGAGTTCTCTTGGCCAACTCACTGTTTCCTCCCAGAGATCGTCACGGTTTTGTTATCTGCACATTTGTCCTAAAGAGGACTCTCCATAGGGAGACACGCAGCCACAGGACCTTGAGCCTGTGGTTCAAGGCACATCGACGGGCACATCCCCAGTGGAAAGCAGCCCGTTGGCGCAGTGGGTTCCCTGGCTGAAAACCCAATGCGGGGCTTCCCTCCATGTGGCTCCATGTCCCGAGAGCCTGGCTTCGGGAGCAGTGGCAATGTTCTCTGGCCTTGGCCCTCTGGCCCAGTGAGGGGCTTCCCTCTGTGCATGGTCAACGGGCAGCACGCTGTCTGGCTGTGCCAGCTCCCTGCGGGGTTTGGCACGAGAGGCACCAGCACATCAGGGGCCTGTCCTCTCAACTCCGTGTCTGTGAGTGCTGGAAGAGTCCCCTTCCAGCGGCACCTGCCCCATGTCACAGGTGAGCAGGACGGTGGTTGGAGGCCTCTCATGTCCATGGGAGACCGGAGACAGCGTGTTTCACACACCGTCCTCACTGCCTGGGGACCGAGGCCTTTGCTTTCTTAGACTATTCCCAGGAGTAAACGTGTGGCTCGCATGAGCCACGTCACCTGTGTCCCTTTCAGAGATGCCTCTCGTGTCCATGGTGAGCCTGGCAAGTGGCCTCCAGGTATTTCTCATAGCTTATTGCTTTGAGTCCTTGCTGAGATTAGTAGGATCCTCCTCGTCACTGGCCCGATGACAGACCCTTCAAAGTGGCTGTATTTGAGAGAAGACAAATTCTCTGTCGAGATTTCTCAGTTGTCTGACAAGTCCAACGGTCGGCCTCAGGGGCTCCCTTGACAAAACAGCAGAAGTGAGAATTAGAACAAGGTGAGCTCGTGAGCTCTGCTTCTCACATTCTGGCCTACCTGCCTCTGTGGCCTGGCCTTTCCCTACACGATCTACAGTGAGCACTCGCGCCTCATCTCTCGGCCCTGAGGTCACAGGCTAGTTACATCCACGCTCGAAGTCTGCAATTCCTGGTATGGTTCAGGGTCTGTCCTTGGGCACTGTTGGCCTCACAGACCCAGGCAGTGTCCCCTGCAGATGCATCCTAGATGCCCCGCCCCAGCCCAAAATAGGCCAGGTCCCCAGAAGATCTTCCCAAGTGTGGGGAGAAGTGAGGATGATCAGTGCTTGTCAATACAAACTGTTCCCGTGGAGGAGGCAAAGGAGCAGAGTCTCTCCAAGGCCTTCCTGCAAATAACGGGCTCAAGGCACTGATAGGAGCCAAGGTCGAATTCTGAACTCAGAAAACTTGTGTTACAAGCACTTTATACAGACTTTATGAAGGTGTGAATGTTTTGACTCACGTCTCGGTTGGCGTTCTCCCTGATGTGAAGAAGCCAAGCGAGGTTAGAAAGTTGGGCCGTCCTGTGACATCCAGGCTGTCACCCAGTGCCTCTCTGTCTTGCAAACCCTACAAAACCAGAAATGCAAATCTACAAGTGAGTCAAAGCCCACCTACCTTTACCAATCCTGAAAGCTCACCTGTTCGTCTCAAAAGGTTTGTAGGTATTACAGAAAATGAGGTTACCGGAACAAAATCACACTGTAAAACAAACAAACAAACAAACAAACAAACAAAAAACCTCTTTAATTGGCTTAAAGAAAATTGAGCACTTATATAAATTTAGTACTCATAAAAATTCTCAAAAATAGAAACTAAATTCAAATGAATTTCAAGTTCACATGATCTGGGAAAAATGTTTGGTAGTAAAGACAAATTTAAGATTGTGGGTTTAATTAAAAAAAAAGACTGAAAACTCTTTTAAATATTTTACATATTTATTCATGAGAGACACACAGAAAGAGGCAGATACACAGGCAGAGGGAGAAGCAGGCTCCCTGCAGGGACCCTGATGCAGGACTCGATCCCAGGACCCCGGACTACAACCTGAGCTGAAGGCAGATGCTCAACCACTGCCAGGTGCCTGAGTTTTTAATCTTAAGGAGTTAAGTTTCAATCCTAACTCCTTCAGAGTTATCAGCCTTAAGGTAAAACTCATGTTTCCTGGGTTTACTAAAAGCCCTAAATAACAAAGATGAGTTTGTTATTTAGGTCACAACATTTTTCAACAATAACAAAAACGTAGTTGCAGAGAACGGCGGACTTAGCCGGAGAGCTCATGCAGTTTTCGTGGGTGATCTACACATGGCTGTTGGGAACATATTACCTGAATTAGGTAGGTAGAAATAAGATGTTTGTAGGTAAGCTTTAAAAGTAATTCCCCCAATTTTTTTTTTTAACCTGAAATCTTGATGTTTTGCTAAGTGATGAGTTAAACCCATTGAAAGCCTAGGAGATAAAGCAGGGACTGGACTCGGACCCCAGCCCGAACCGCAAGCTCTAGTGCTCCAGGACTGCTGTGCCCCTTGCTTGAGTGGTGGGGCTCCCAGGAAAGCCAGAAGGTTGTGCCCTTTGATGGTACCTCCTGCAGTGGAGCGGAAGGAGGGTGCTCACTGAGGAGGGACCCCCGAGCCTGGTGAAGACCGGACCAAACCAGCCTGCGCCAGGACAAAGCCCAGTCCCCAGCTATGGCACACCTCCCCCCAGTTCTCACAGTAAAAATCACCCCCAGGGGTAGAGAATCAATTTCCCAACAAGACACGCAATGTATGCAGAGGCATGTTCCGTGCACTGGCCCCCACCCATGTCTCTCCCTGCCCTCATGTGCTCAGTGTCACCCCCTCCCTGGCCTGTGTGCTGAGAATCAACCTGAGGACACTTGTGCTCTGTCCTGGCTCCCTGGTGAGGGTATCAGCTCCAAAAAAGCCATTCCAGGAACTCCCGCTGGGTCCCTAGTATGTGTCTATTACTTGGAGAGCCTAAGGACCGAGGTGATATGCCTAGACACTCCTAATAAAGTTTCATCAAATTGAAGATTGAAATCTCATCAAGCATCTTTTCAAACCACATGAAACTAGAAATCAGTGACAAGAAAAAAATGGGAAAACCGCTGACATGGGGGCTAACATGCTACTAAACAAATGTGTCATCGAAGAAATTGAAGAATAAAGCTAAATACCTGACACAAACGAAATTGCAAACACAATCATGTAAAATCTTTGGGAAGCAGTAAAATTTTTAAGAGAGAAGTTTAGTTGGCACAAGGAAGGAAGTAGTAAACAATCAGAGGGGAAAGAAATGAAAGAGCTTAAAAACCAGAGAAGATAAATAAAATGAAGACCTAGTTCTATGAAAAGAAACAAAATTGATAAACATTTAGCTAAACTCATTATGGAAAAAAATTCAAATAAAGTTACAGATGAGAGAGAAATAGCAACCTACAGCACAGAAATAACGATAGGAGATTACTATGAAAAATCATAAACCAACAAATTGGACCACCCAGAAGAAATGGATAAATTGCTAAAGACATCCAAGTGTCCAAAACTGAATCAGGAAGAATTAGAAAATCTGAACAGATTAATCACTAGTAACAAAATTGAATCAGTAATAAAACTCCCAACAAGGGATCCCTGGGTGGCGCAGCAGTTTGGCGCCTGCCTTTGGCCCAGGGCGCGATCCTGGAGACCCGGGATCGAGTCCGCGTCGGGCTCCCGGTGCATGGAGCCTGCTTCTCCCTCTGCCTGTGTCTCTGCCCCTCTCTCTCTCTCTCTCTCTCTCTCTCTGTGTGTGTGTGACTATCATAAATAAATAAAAATTTAAAAAATATTAAAAAAAAAAACTCCCAACAAACAAAGGACCAGGACCAGGTGGTTTCACAGATGAGTGCTACCAAACATTTGAACAAGAATTAATAACTATTCTCCTCAAGCCAAATCCAAAACAGAAAAGGAAGGAAAACTTCCAGATTCATTCTTCGAGGCTAGCATTATCTTGACACCAAAACCAAAGACATCACAAAAAAAGAACTACAGGCCAGTATCCCTGATGAGCATAGATGCAAAAATACCCCTCAACATACTATTTGCAAACCAAGTTCAACCATACATTAGAAGGATTATTCACCAGAGTGAGGTGGGATTCATTCCAGATATGGAAGGATGGTTCAATACTGGAATCATGGTGATACATCACATTAACAAAATGAAGGGAAAAAAACACACGACCATCTTAACAGATGCAGAAAAAGCATTTGACAACATCCGTTCTTTTTTTTTTTTTTTTTTTTTTAGATTTCTGTTTAATATATATTTTAAAGGAAATAACTTAAGAAACTTAAATTGGTCTAACATTGTGGGATTTCAAACATTTGAACATGTCGGTTGCATCCCCGAGTATAAAAACCTTTTCACTTCTCATTTAGACTAAGACAAACACTTGGGAAAATTGGCGCAAAATGAGTTGTACACTAACAAAAAAGTTTCAACTTCTTCACTCTTAATTATCTATTCCGTACAAAAAAAAAAAAAAAAGCATGAGCGAGTTATTTGTGGGACTTGTTGGTTTTGAAGGAAACCTGTAAGATTCTGCCCCCCAGGCGGTAGCCGTTCAGACTTGCTATGGCCATGGCGGCTTCTTCATAGTTTGTCATGGTCACAAAGCCAAAGCCTTTGCACTTGTAGGTGTTGAAGTCGCGAATCACTTTCACATTGGTGACTGCCCCAAAGGGGCGAAACATCTGCCAGAGGATCCCCTCATCGGCGTCCTGCCCGAGGTTGTAGATGAAGATGCACCAGCCCGAAGACGCGTTGCCCGGGACATTGACACCAGAAAGCCCACTCATGTGATCTACACCCATAGGGGAGAACCCGAATCTCTGCGCCTGGTGGTGAACGGGGCCTCCGAACCGTGTGGCAGGCGAGTGGTACAGCTGGGAGGGCAGTGCCACGTTTTTGTTCTGGTTGCGGTTGGCTGCAAACTTCACTGTAATGGGCTCAGGGGAACCTGGGGGTTTATGACCATTGAAACTGGTAATTGCCTCCTCTGCCTCCGACCGTTTGTCAAACCGGATAAACGCAACCCCTCTGGACAAACCTGTGGTCTGATCCACAAGGACCCGGGAGTTGATGATTCGCCCGAACCGAGAGAACATATCCTCCACGTCCTTCTGGGTCATGGTCCGCGGGAGCCCACTGATGTACAGGTTGGCATCTTTGATGGCTTTTGAGCTCGGGCGAGCATACGACACCTTAATGGTTTTTGACTGGAGCCACAGGCCATTCAGCGTGTTGATTGCTCTCTCTGCGTCCTTGGCAGTCACGTAGTTCACGAAACCATAGCCCAGGCTGTGCCCCGCTACTTCATCCCGAATGAGTCTTGCAGATTCAACTTCACCAATACTGCAGAACAGACTCCGTAACTCATCCTGGGTCATGTTCTGAGGGAGGCAGTTGACAATTAAACTCGTTCTCCCGATATCATCCCTGCAGTCTTCGGCCATGTGGTCTTCATCACCATTAGACATTGTATTTTTTAAAAATCTGGACGCGGGCGGGCGGGCCTGGGGCTGCTCGGGGCGGGCGGGCGGCGGTGGCGCGGCGCTAACGGCTCCGCTCGGCCTCGGTAGCGGCGGCGACGGCAGCGGCCGGAACAAGCGACTCTTGATCTTGGTGTTGTCAATTTGAGCCCCACATTGGGTACAGAGATTACTTAAAAATAAAATCTTGGTTGAGATAGGTCAGAGGCTCCTCGTGCAGCTTCACGGCCGGGGACGTGGCGGCAAACAACACGTACTGCAGCGGCGGCAGGCGGGCCTCGTTCTCGGGGGACAGCTGGGGCTCCTCTTGCTTGAAGATGGGCAGGGCGAGCACATCATTTTCCCTTTGAAGAGCACTAGTCAAGTCCCTCAGGTACCTGCCGGAGCTGTCCTGGTTGTAGTGCTCGGGCTGCGTGAGCCAGAACAGGGACTCCGTTCTTTTTTTTTTAAAGACTTTATTTATTTATTCGTGAGAGACACACAGAGAGAGGGAGGCAGAGACACAGGCAGAGGGAGAAGCAGGCTCCACGCAGGGAACCCAATGTGGGACTCGATCCCCAGTCCCCAGGATCACACCCTGGGCTACAGGCGGTGCTAAACCGCTGCGCCACCGGGGCTGCCTGACAACATCCGTTCTTGATAAAACCCTCAACAAAGGGGCATCAGAGGAAACATACCTCAAATGACGAAGGCCATATGCAGCAGACCCCAAGCACTCATCAAAGTCAACGGTGAAAACCTGAGAGCTTTTCCTCTAAGATGAGAGACAAGACAAGGATGCCCGCTGGTGCCACTTTTGTTCACTGTGGTACTGGGAGGTGTAATCCTGGCAACCAGACCGAGAAAAAGGGATAAAAGACATCCAGATTGGTAAGGAAAAAGTAAAACTGTCAGTATTTGCAGATGGCGTGATACTATGGATATAAAACCTGAAAGAGTCCACCAAGAATCTTTTACAACTAATAAATGAATTCTGTAAAATTGTAGAATACCAAGTTAATATACAGAAATGTGTTGTTTCTTTTTTTTAATTTTTATTTATTTATGATAGTCACACACACACAGAGAGAGAGAGGCAGAGACATAGGCAGAGGGAGAAGCAGGCTCCATGCACCGGGAGCCCGATGTGGGATTCGATCCCAGGTCTCCAGGATCACGCCCTGGGCCAAAGGCAGGGATCAAACCGCTGCGCCACCCAGGGATCCCCCATTGTTTCTTTTTTTAAAAAAAATGATTTTATTTATTTATTCATGAGAGACAGAGAGAGAGAGGCAGAGACATAGGCAGAGGGAGAAGCAGGATCCCTGCAGGGAGCGATGCAGGACTCGATGTGGGACTCGATCCCCGGATCACGGGATCACGCCCTGAGCTGAAAGGTACATGCTCAACCGCTGAGCCACCCAGGCGTCCCCAGAAATGTGTTGTTTCTATACACTGATATCAAAGTAGCAGAAAGAGAAATTAAGAAAGCAATCCCATTTATGATTGCACCAAAAGGGATAAAATATCTAGGAATAAATTTAACCAGGGAAGTGAAAGACTTGTACTCTGAAAACTATGAAATATGGATGAAAGACATTGAAGACGACACTAGCAAATGGAAAGCTACACTAAGCTCATGGAGTGGAAGAATCAATGTTGTTAAAATGTCCACACCACCCAAAGGACTCTCCACATTCAATGCAATCCCTATGAAAATGCCAACAGTATTTTTCACAGAACTAGAACAAGTAATCCTAAAATGTGCTGGAACCACAAAGACTCCATGTATCCAAAGCAACCTTGAGAAGGAAGAACAGAGTTGGAGGCATCGCAATCCCAGATTTCAAGATATACCACAAAGCTGTAGTGATCAAAGCAGCATGGGACTGGCACAAAAACAGACATAGAGGGATCCCTGGGTGGCACAGCGGTTTGGCGCCTGCCTTTGGCCCAGGGCCTGATCCTGGAGACCCGGGATCGAATCCCACGTCAGGCTCCCGGCGCATGGAGCCTGCTTCTCCCTCTGCCTGTGTCTCTGACTCTCTCTCTCTTTCTGTGTGACTATCATAAATAAATAAAAATTTTAAAAAAAATTTAAATAAATAAAATCTTAAAAAAAAAAAAAGAAATCTTCTTGACTGGCCACCCTCAGAACTCAGAAACTAGTGTATCATTTGCTCCACTCATTACTGTTTTTCACCCTTTCCATTGAAATGCCTATGGTTTAATACCTGATTACTTAATTGATTGTCCTGCTAAAATCTCACAGATGTATGCTTCTGTATGCTGAACTTACAGAAGCTGCCTGCCTTGGTCATTTTCTGTGTCTCAATTTCATCATTGGGCTACCATGTGTGTGAAATAAAACTTTGTTTTTTCCTCCTATTAATCATGTTGAATTAATTCTTAAACCAGCTAGAAGAACCTTGAAAGAGAGATAAAATGCTTTCCTCCCCTTAACCCATAGCCAAGGTATCACCTAATGAAGAGACTCCCAGAAGAGTGCAGCTTCCTCCAGCTTTGTGTTCAGGAGGAATAATTGCATCTGTGCTGGAGAGGATATATTTAAGCAGATATGTGGGCCCCCAAGACCTCACCCTTGGCACCTGTACTCTCAGGCACATACCAGGTGTAGGTCTCTGGCTTCCTACACAGCCCCCACACTCACAGTACACAGCCCATCAACTGCCCTTGAGCACCCGAGGCCTCCACGCCTGGAGTCCTCTGGTCAGTCCCCAATGACCTGCATAGCCTCCAGTGCAGAGGAAGCCCACCCCAAATATCTTTCTGATATGGCAGCTAATTAAAGGGTTACTTGGAAAATTAAGCCCAGGGACCTGAGTACCTGGATTCCTAACAATTGGTCATAGAGCAGCCATTGAGGGTAAGTGCCTCAAATGGCCCCACTGGGAAAATATTCTTGGAATGGATGAAATAGGACATATTCAAATTATGGGAAAAATTTAAAAATTCCTAAAAGAGGGATCCCTGGGTGGCGCAGCGGTTTGGCGCCTGCCTTTGGCCCAGGGCGCGATCCTGGAGACCCGGGATCGAGTCCCACGTCGGGCTCCCGGTACATGGAGCCTGCTTCTCCCTCTGCCTGTGTCTCTGCCTCACTCTCTCTCTCTGTGTGACTATCATAAATAAATAAAAAAAATTAAAAAAAATTCCTAAAAGAATGAGTTATGGTGCATACTATTTCATATAATAGACCAACCTTGTGGGCTTCAGCTGGCACAGTCCTATAGATTTATAATAGTTTATCGGAATTTAAACTAACACTGCAAAATTGAGGGAGCAGTCTCAGATACAACCACTATCATAAACCACATCCCCACTGGATCTGAAACTCAGTACACGCTGGTTGAATGATTGGACAAGTCCATTCTTCTTCCCATGGATGCAAAGAACCAACGCATAACCATATTCACGTGGGAAGGCAGACACAATCAGTTCACTAGGTAACCACAAAGATGCCTCAGCAGCCCAGAAAGAGCCCACAACCTTCTAGCTCAAGACTTCCAGGCCTTTCATAGACAGACACACACACACACACACTCACACACACACTCACACCAGCATTTCCTACGTTGATGATGCCCTTATTTCTGGTGACAACTTGGAGAATACACCAATGTCTACACACATAAAGTTAATGGGATTCCTTACATTCAGGGGACGGACAATTGACCCAAGTAAAGGCCACGTATCTCACACTACAGTAAAACTTCGAGGCATAACGTGGTCCTCAGAAGGCAGAAAAATACCACACAGCCTCCCACACAACACAGCTGCATACCCACCCCTACCACAGACGAATGACATCAGGAACAGACAGGAGTGATAGGACACAGCACAAATGACATATGGGGAGAATGTGAAACACATTTGTGAAATGACTAGGAAGAGTCGGGAACTTCCATGGACGGAGACTCACGACACTGCCAATACTTATTGGGAAACCGCTGTCAGAACCTGTGATACACTGGCACCAGCGAACAAAGATTCTGACACACACGGGAGTGTCACCATGCACAAGGGTCTGCAACACAGTCAGCGGGGACTGAAGTCACAAACATGCTCTACCGCGGTGGGTTTTACACGGAGATGTTCCCGGGTGCGGAGAAGAGACACCAGCTGCCTCCGTGGCTCCCCCAGGTCTCTCTGAGGCCCCACAGACAGCAGAGCCACTACCAGAAAATACACCAACGATCCGTCAACTCCAGGGGCCGAATCTGGAGTGGCCCCTGGCAGCAGAGCCCTGACAGACAGAGGGGAACCCGTCCTGAGCACAAGTCCTGACAGGGAGATGGCACATTTCTGAGCAGGACTCAGATGGGACGTCGGCCCTCTGCATCAGCTGAGGAGATCCCAGCTGTGCCAGAAACAGACCTGCAGAACTTTCCAGCAGTGAGCGCGTGCACGCTCCAGCAGTTTGTACTGAGGACCACCCTGGTGCATGGGGCACAACGCGTGCTTTCCAGACAGACTTGCCGCCGCGACACCAACCACAGTAGTTGCCAGGCTGCTGCCCTGAGAACTGGCGATGGTCTAACCCCAACAGCCTCAGAATCCGGAGAATCGGCGCAATATGCTGAACAAATAGCCATAAAACTGGCGATGAAAGAATCTACTAAGGGAAACCAGAACGGGGTATATCTGTTCTCAGACTTCTGGGCAGAGCTAGTGACATGCTCTTTGGTGCGGAGCGTGGTGGGGAGATGACCACGCGGCAGGAAACAGATGTGGGGTAAGGGCGTATGGCAGAAAGCGGCACGGGCTGCTGTCCCCGACTTCATCACACATGTCCCTGCATGTCAGAAGGACAACTGGGAGCACACATGGGCACCTCGCCAACACGTCCCTCTGGCACGTGCAGCAGGAGAACGTGGTGAGAGAACAGGAGCTTGTACACTCCCACCAAACACCTCCACTATCAAAGACGGGAGAGAACGGGCACAGTTACAGTTCAGAGGTCAGTAACGGATGATCTAGACAAGGTCAAAGCTGGCAGCCTCTTCCAGAACATACAAACAGGGCCTAATGGGCCCTCTATGAGGACAAACTATAAGCAAGGGCCACAGTAGACACAGAGTCAGGAATAGGCATCCTCTATCGACACCACAAAACATTTTACACAGCCCACCATCAGACCACTAGAAATCTGGGTCGTGTGCCATGGTAGCCCAACCATCATCGCATCGATCAGGCCACCCACGTCAGGAGAGCAAACACAAGACCGGGCTGAGGAAGACGCCGGAACATGCATCTTCCCCTTACCCCACGGCCCAAGTGCCTCTGATTGAGCTGAAAGGCCCAGGGGCTTGTTCTGCAGCAAGACTCTGGGTTGCTCGCTAACCATCTAGATATCAAAGCTTGGGCTGACCCAGCCTGGGAGGCGGCAGGATCTGTAAACCACCGATACGAAAAGGGCAGACCAACTCCCGAAAGATCACCGCAGGCCCCCACAGAAATAAGACTTAGCACAACACCCGCCAGAACCTAAACCAAAAGGAAACACGTTAACTAAAAGTAGGGTGACACTGATCTGCGCGCACACGTGTCTCCCAAACAGGGTCACCACTTGAATTAGACGTGCCCGTGACTCCAGATGACATGGGCTGGCGCCGCAGCAGAAACGAGAGAAGCTACGAGCCTCTCGGACTTTGGTCTCAGACCTGGAGGGGGCAGAAAGCCGACACACATCCGCAGATCACTACCTCCAAGCGGTGCAGACGGCGCTCCTCCAAGTAGAGCCTCTCACTAGGGAACGGCTCATTTCGTAGGAGCTTCCCTGCCTGTCAACGAGTGGGGTGAGGGCATGTCCCATTGACAAACTTCCAC